ATTACAGTGTCCTACACCCTAATCTGGTGTTGTCCAGAAATGACTCTTGCTATTAAAGACTGTTGTTTCGGGAATTTGTTCAGGTTTCCCTAGACAGAAAACACAGGCAGGCCAGTTCCTCTCCTCAGCTTCCTCACATCCTTCACTCCCCTGTTCGGGCAGCTGGAGATGTCCGAGACTCTCCCTACTCTGCAATCGTTAGAAACCATATTCCTTTTTAAGGTAAATGTCAACGCACAGATCAACTTCTTTACGGTGTAAGAGCTAATTGTGTCACCTCTCATAGGCATTTGCGGATTATTGATTTCTTTCTTTTTTTGGTGTGTACATTATCAATTACAACAATTGCATGGACAGCTAGTTAGAAACCTATAAGAGTTTCAATATCAGAAGTAAGAGATACATGAACAAATGCAATTTTCCATAAAGATAAGATACATACATATCTTATCTTGTATCAAGCTAAACATACCCATATTATCTATGTATACGTATAGATACATATAGTCAGAAATATAAAAATGACTCAGTTATATAAAGTGCTTTACACAGTGATTAGCATGTTGCTGTTCTATTGTTATCATCGTTATTTAGCTACATATATACTATATATACATATATTACATAAACTACATATATAACTATATTACATAACTATATAATTGTAGCAGGATTCCTGCTGGAAATTAAACTTGTGTCTCTCTTTCTCTGCTCTAACAGATATGCCAGAAAGTCACTGAAGCATGGCAAACCACCCCTGAGACACTGTGGTCAGCTGCCTGGCCTGAACTGGGTAAAGGACCCCTTGTAGCTCGTCTTACCGGCTACCTCTCGTGCACCAGCTCAGGTCCTCTGGGCTTCACCTTTCTCCTCTCCCCACCTCAGTGCCCAGCGCTGCATGGACTCTAATTAGCTTCATGAAGGCACAACCCTACAGCACCTCACCTCACCCCCATGCCATGTGCCTCTCAGCTCCCTTCTCCTGCCCTGGGGACACAGTATCCTGAGCCCACTCATGTGCAACCCAGAAGTGCAGCATGAATCCACAGGAGATGGTATCCCATGGACATATGCTTCCCTTCCCCCAGAATGACTGGTCATTTCATGAGGACCAAACAACCAGTTACCAATAGCAGTAACAGGGCACAACGTGTATTGGTGCCCCCCCCTTTCCTTGTCCACTCCCCTCCCCTGCACTGCTGCTCCACGGCACCGCATGCCCCCGTAAGTCTTCACACACAGCCTTTGTCCTGGGCTCTGCTCTCCATGACACCCAGACTAAGGTAAAACTCCCAGTGGTCACCCACGTGCTGGTGCAGTTAGCCCTCCTGCTCCCAGGGGCGGTGACACAGTTAGACGCTTTGTTCTTCTCTTCCTGAACAGGAAAATGATTTGATCCCTCATGATGCAGATGTAAAAGGGGGGGGGGGGGCAGTTCCTCGTGTACAAGGGAGAACGGGAGGATAACTCCCGAGCCAGGGCTTCTGGGTGGGGGCCCCCTGGGCAGTGGCGGTGTGGGGGATGGAAGAGCCTTCTGCACCTGACTGAGCTCAAGCGGGGGTCCCAGGGCTACGGCTTTCAGTACTCAGCTCCTCCCGGTGGTGCCTGAAGAGACTAGTGACCCTCACGCCGTGTGTCTCTCCAGACAGGCAAAGGAGAGGGCAGTTCCTGGGGGCAGCACGTCTGATGGCCTCAAGGGCCTGTGCTTCGTGGCCGTCCCCTGTCCTGGCAATAAGCCAACACAGGAGTGCAAGGCTTGGAATCTTGAGTCTCCCAGCCAGAGAGCCAGACTGCTATGCCCCCTGCCTCCGGTGGGGTCCGAGGCTAGTTTTATTTACGAGATAAAACAAAAGAGATGGGACAGTATTTGTTCTCTGAGTTGATGATAATGCAGTTATATGTAATTACGTTAACAGCAATGCATATCTAGTGTTGGGGGCACAGGCAACCCCAATATTTATGCAAAAAGACCCTACTTTTAAAAACCAGCCAAAAAAGTATATATGTATATGAATGTATGTATTTAATTCCCTGTACAGAACACCCAAAAGCATTTGGTTAGAACAACCATCTAGAATATAAGATTAGAAGTCTCCAAATCTCAAAAAATAATAGAGAAATTATTAAAACCGTGAATTAATACGTAATATCTAAATTTTATTACATATAACTATCAACTGCTAAGATCGATGTGCGTTCCATTCAAAGCTAAGGGTAAGAAAGTATATTGGGGTAAAAACCATAAAATTAGGTATAAGTCAGCCTCTTCATCATCGCATAGAAGGCACTGACCTTTGCACTTAAAATTTTCATTGTGAACACCAAAATACCATCTCATGTTGACATATTCAGGAGGGAAATTAATATCCTTCCAGAGTGCCTTAGTATTACTGTATCACAGGGCTGTGAATCATTACAACAGGCAATTTATATATAACATTAATCATAGGTAACTCTAAGTATTAACTACTAATATTGCCTTTATAATTAAATATAATTAATTAGAACTAATTTTTTAAGTTCTTGCCTGGGGCCGACGCTCCTCCGAACCTAGAACAAGGTCCTGCCTGGTGTAGACATGTCCCCACCCATCTCTAAAACGTTCTTCAGGCCTAGGCCTTCTCCTCTCATCTCTTGTCACTTTTCCTAAGTGCTTCTATCAGCAACTTGGGTTACATTCACCAAGTATAAGTCAACTCGCAATAATAATAATAAGGGCTGCTATTTGTTGAGTACTTAGTATGTGCTAAGCCCTGCACTTTACAAGCATGAACCCAGTTAATAGTCATAACCACCCTCCCTGCAAGGTAGGAACAGCCCACATCTCCCAGCAACCACTGGATGCCCATAGCATGGGCAGCTCAAACTCCACAATTCCAAACTTCACTTAGCCTCCCCACAAACCTGCCTCTGCTTCTCCATACCATTACACAAGTCATCACTATCCAGAAATGGGTATGTCGTTCTGGGACTCCTCCCTCTCCACTCCCAATCAGTTCCAAGTTCTATGAGCTCTACTTCCTAAATATCCCTTCATTCCGTTTATACTTTGACCATCCTGGATAAAGCTCCCATCATTTCTGGCCTGGAGTCCTGTAATAGCCCAACTCATCTCTGTATCTAGTCTGATTTTTCTAATTCCGGTTACTCTACCAACTTAACCTTATGACGTCGGGCATCTAAAATAAGGGGATAACAATGAGGTCTCTCATCCTTCCAGGTTAGCTTGAGTAAATGTGACATGGGGCATCTCACTGTTAGGCACTTGATAAAAAATGACTCAGCTGACATACAAATCATGGCAATTTGATGCTACAGGCCACATGTCTAACTGCCACCACACATGTCCAGGTAAGCCCACCATTATCAGAAAAGTCACAATGGAAAGGGATATGCGAAAGAATAAGGTATAATGAAAGTTTTTTTAGTATATACACATACTCAAATTACTCCAAAACTTACCAGCTTAGAATAACAAGCATTTATGATCTCGTGGTTTCTACAGCACAACTTAGTTAGGTGCCTCTGGCTTGAGGTCTTACGTGAGGATGCAAACTGTCAACCGGGCTACAATCTCATCTGAAGGCCTGACGGAGGTTAAGGGGCTTCCCAGCTCGCTCAAGTGGCTCGCGGAGGCCTTCATCCCTTGCCTCATGAGCCTCTACAAAGGGCTCCCTGACAATATGGCTGTCGGTTGGCCCCTGGGCAAGTGATCCAAGAGACAGTGAGCAAGAAAGGGCCCCCTAGATGGAAGTCACAATCTTCTTTTTTTAATCCTTACCTGAGGATATTTTTTGCATTCATAGAGCGAGAGGGAGAGAGGGAGGAAGAGAGAGAGAGAGAAACATTGACATGAAAGGGACACATCGAGTTGTGTCCACACAACCCCAACCGGGGCAGGGGACAAACTGCAACCGAGGTACATGCCCTTACCAGGAACCAAACCTGGGTCTCTCCAGACCGCGAGCCGACGTTCCAACCGCTGAGCCAAACAGGCCAGGGCAGAAGTCACAACCTTTAATAAACTCATCTCACAAGTAATATCCCATCTCTTTTGTCATTCAGTAGAAGTGAGTCATGAAATCTAGCCCATACTCAAGAAGAGGGGATTACACATGGCCAGAGACCACAGAATTTTTTTTTTTTTAGAGAGAGAGGAAGGGGGAGAGAGAGAAACATCGATGAGAGAGAACATCGACTGGCTGCATCCAGCACAGCCCCACTGGAGATTGAACCGGAAACCATGGCATGTGCCCTGACCGGGAATCAAACAGGGACCTCTCAGTCCATGGGACGACACTCAATCCACTGAGCCACACTGGCTGGGCAAAGCAACTCATTTTTAAAAGAACTAAATCTCTATTGGAGGAGATTTTAAAAATACAATACAAGTTAATAATGAAAATAATTATTTTATGATGGAATTCCATATTTCTCAGAAGTCTTTTTTTATGGTAATTCAATCTACTGTTACAAGCAAGACGGAGAGCCTTATAGGTCGAATGTGAAGAGACGGGAGAAAAGGACCATCTACAAGCCAAGGGGCGGGGCCCGGAGCCGTTTCTCCCTCAGAGCCCCAGCGGGAGCCAACCCTGCAGACACCTCGATCTCGGACTTCCAGCCTCCAGTACCGTGAGACAATAAACTTTGCTGTTCAAGCCCCCAGTCTGTGGTACTTTGTAACGGCAGTCTGAGCAAACAGGAAGACAAAAGAGAAAGGAACTTCAGAGAGAGAGGCAGAGAAGGACAAAGAGGGAGAAAGACTATATGTTGATTTTAAAGAAAGATGTGTAAGGGCCTATGATTATAATCTCATTTAGCACATTCATGGAGCAGAATGGCTAAATTCCAAGAGGCTGATAGAAATTTCCAAAAAATGTGCAAATGGAATCCAGTGCCAGGTGAGAAGAACCAGACTCTCCCTCCACAGGTAGGGCCCTACCTGGCAGGGGCAGATGGCGGGGCTGCGGAAGGAGGCCAGGAGCGACAGGGGGCCTTACCTTCTGGTAGTCCTCTTTGGATCGCAGGGCCGCCTCCATGTGCGTGGTGGAGGTCGGATAGATGGCTGAGCGGTACTGAGAGCCGTGGTCATTGCCTTGGCGCATGCCTGGGGAAGTGGAAAGTGGAGAGGATTACTGGGGGCACTGGATGGCGAGGCCAGTATCACACGTTCTCTGTGGCTAATGTCCTTAGTGCTTTTCATTTTATCTTGACATCTCTCTCCTTAAATGAGCATGAAATGTACCTGTCTTGCTTTGCCTATTTCAATGATAACAAATATCTCTGAACTTGGGTAAATTTATCACAGCCCTTGCATCATAGTAGATGCTCTATAATTATGTATTTTCCTGTGCAGATGTTTAAATCGTAACCCAGTCCATGTATCACTTGCAAAGCGCAGTGATACACATTATTTCTTTGGATCCGAATGAGACACCTTCTATGGCAGGTACTGTTGCCCCTCACTTGGCAGGTAAGAAAATGTGATGACGCACATGCCAGGGCCTGGAGTTCTGCCTGGCATTGAGAGATGCCTGTAAGTGAAACAGTAACTGTGCTCAGTGGGTTTAAAGTGTTTGCCTAAGATCACACACCCAATTAAGAAAAAACCCTGGGACGTAATGTTGTCTAGTGCACTTTCCACCCCGTCACAGCAGCTAGGGTGTAGATGGTGGTCAATTTCTAACTGAGTAATTTAGTTCCCAAAGCTAAACAGCCACAGGCCTAATATAGATCGCCTATTGATCTCTATACTGTTGTCAAAATGAACTTCACTTATGTTTACTGCATCATTCAAGAATCAGTCTAACAAGTGTCCCAAAACTCCTACAGAAGATTCAACCTTCCAAAGAAAACCAGCTTCGAATTTCAAGCTTGATGCCCACACGTATCACCTGGGAATGTTGTCAAAATGCAGGTTCTGACTCCACAGGTCTGGGGTGAGCCTGAAATTCTGCATTTCTTAATTGCTCGTGGGTGGCGTGGGGCCACCAGAGCGAACTTGGGGTAGCAAAGCTTTAGTGTGTGCCCAGATATTTTCACGATTCCTTTATGATCTGTCAGCAACATTTCTAATTCCAGCACTGTGGTGAGGGAAACCTGAATCTTCCAAACCACCCTTGCGCGGGTATGCTGTTGACAATGCTCCCTCCACCCCAACATGTCATGCACACACTTTTCACAGGACTCCTTTTCAACCTTTAAGACAGTTCACGCATCTTCTCTCTGGAAAGCCTTCCCTGATTGTGCCTCCTGGCTATGACAGTCACCGCTCCTTGGGGCTCCATCGGGCCTTGCAGGTCCCTCCCTTGCAGGTGCATCACGCTGCACTGGTATCATGTGATTGTCCCCTTTCTCCTCTGCGAGCTGTCCAGAGGGAGAGCTTTACCGCCGCAGTGCCTGGGGTAGCACCAGCCAGATGGACGGACTTGCACAAACATTTGTCACAGGAAGAATACATGCGTGCATACCTTGTGATCCAAGGCCCTGCGGTCAATACTGAGGGCTTTGTCACATTTACTTGGTAAATCTCAATGTAAAATCGAATGTAAATGAAATAATCGTTCTTAGGAGCTATAGGAAAAAGCCACAAATGAGCTGATACGTTTGCTCTTACAGGTAAGCGCAGTAGCTGAGGACGCCGAAGGCTCACTATGGCAGTTAATGGGTGGGCAAGCTAGAATTCATGATCGAAACTTCAGGCCAAAAACAGAAGGTTAAATGGTAACAAAACCGTAGGATTTAGGGTCAAGCCCTGGGCTATCTATGGCATACAGGTGCATGTGTGTGTGTGTGTGGGGGGTTCTGACGCCTACTTGCCCACACCCCCAGAGCAGCTGGCTTCTTACAATCTCACTCTCACACCTCCCATCCTTTCCTCGCTGTACAAAGGTCACATGGGGACCAGGAACTAATTAGTGGCTAAAAGAGCCAGTAATGACACAAAAATATTAATAATACATGATAAAAAATAAACCATCTCATCCTTCTAATAAACAACTACCAAATTAAAACATCTACTTCATTTCAGTGTAAGTTATATATTCACATAAGCATTCTTATATTATTATTATTATAGTATACAATATATAAGTACTATTACAGTATAAATATTACTTATAGTGCATACTATATAAGCATGATTAGAGTGTATTATTATTATTTTTTTTTATCCTCACCTGAGGACATTTTTCTATTTTTTGTTCAGGTAGAGTGGGAGGGGGAGAGAGGAAGAGAGAAAGAGAAACATCGATGTGAAGGGACACATCGAGTGGCTGCCACCCGCACAACCAACCAGGGCCGGGGACAAACTGCAACCGAGGTACATGCCCTTAGCGGGAACCGAACCCGGGTCTCTCGGGACCACAGGCCGACGCTCTAACCGCTGAGCCAAACCGGCCAGGGCGTAAGTATTATTTTTTAAGCACCTGATATGTACCAAGTACTCTTCCAGATGCTGAGGATGCAGCACTGAATGAAAGCAGACCCTCCCTCCTCAGAGCTCACATTCAGGGGGAATCGAAGAGACTGGATACATTCACATTCCAGAATGGCACCCAGGCGACCTTTTCACTTTGCCTTCTTCAGTTTTCCCTCCTTCACTTACGAGGAGAGCTTTGCTTGCATGACTGCTTCCCATACTTTCGTGCATCAAGACTTGATAGTAGTAACATTATTCTCCAGGAAGAAAAAAGATTGCTGGATGGCTGATTTTTGCTAAAATCCGACCCCCTCCCCATTCAAGATGCAGAAAAGCAGGGTCTCGGTGGAGAGTTGTTTAAAGCTATGTGAGCTTTCTTTCTTTTAAAAGACAAATTAGTATGTGAGTGAAAGAGACTCTGCAGGTGTGACATTTCTATTTTCAACAAATGTTGCTAAGATGTCTTATGTCTTGTACACTGAAGACAATAAATATCTGTGTTTGGTTGAAGGTCTTTGAATTGTCATAGGATCATGAGAAATTGTTGCTTATGGATAAATACCAGCTTTTCATCAAACAAAATGGGAATAATGAAGAATTATTCCAAGGAAATGGCATAATAATGGGCTCTTTCACTAATCATATTTTCACAAATAATCTGATAGATAGAGTGCATAATGAAACCCTTAAGCTATTTAGAGCTTCTCTTGTACTGACATGACAACCTAAGGGGTAGAAACATCTGGAAGATCTTACAAAATTGTGTGGTTGGGAAGAAAAAATATACATGACTGTCATTCAAGGCAAGAATGTCAGATAATGCATTTCTTTTCTTTGGTCTTTTTTTAGATTATTTTTTCTTATAAATGTATCTTTATTGTTGAAAGTATTGCTTAAATTTTATTTTTCAGTTATAACTGACATGTAATAGTATATTAGTTTTGGGTATACAACATAACGATTAGACATTTATATATCTTACAAAGTGATCACCCCAATAAGTCCAGTACCAATCTGGCACCATACATAGTTATTACAATATCACTGACTATATTTATTATGCTCCACTTTACATCCCCACAACCATTTTTGTAACTGGCAATTTATAATTCTTAATCCCTTCACCCTTTCTGCCTAACAACCCCCAACACCCCTTTCATCTGATGACTATCAGTTTGTTCTTTGTATCTATAAATTTGTTTGTTCATGGTTTTTGTTTTTAGATTTCACATATAAGTGAAATCATATGATATTTGTCTTTCTTCATCTGACTTATTTTATTTAGCATAATACCTTCTACCATACATGTTGCTGCAAATGGCAAGATTTCATTCTTTTTATGGCCAAGTAATATTCCATTGTATATATGTAGCACATCCTCCTTATCCATTGAATAAAATACCTAGGAATAAATTTAACCAAGGAGGTAAAATACCTGTACTCAAAAAACAATAAGACATTAAAGGAGGAAACTGAAGAAGATACAAATAAATGGAAGAGAATACCATACTCATGGATTGGAAGTATTAACATTGTTAAAATGTCCATACTAACCAAAGGAATCTATAGATTTGATGCAATCCCTATCAAAACAGCAATGGCATTTTTCAAGATAATGCATTTCTATCAAAACTAGGTATTATTGATGTAATGAGTGGTTATACTACTGCTGCATTCCAGGACATGGATTTATGGACCCTTCCCTGAAGCCATAATCCCTTGATTTAAATTCTAACTTGATCATCTGTTAACTGTAACACAATACTGATACAGCTCCCATCACTATTTTCCTTGTCTTCTCTATGCAGACTTGGGGCATCCCCAACTCACTCTGGGCAGCTTTAAAGAGAAGTAATATTGTGGGCACTATCCACAGCTCTGCTCCAGACTCCCTGCACCTTCCCCTTTGCATGCCCCAAACTGACCATTCAACCAATGAGAAGATGGAAGTTATTCACACAGTTACAGCTACCACCTACAGGCAGAAGTCTTTACAACCTGAATTTACAGCCCTGACCTACTGACCCTTCTTGGATATTCTAGTGAAACTAAAAGCTCCCCATGTTAGAAACAATACACACTGTCCTCCTGGTCACTCTGGCTAAACCCCTGTCTGTCCAGGAGAGAAGATAAGAAACTGCTAAAGAAATACCTGCAGTAGGGGGTGGAGAGAAAACATCAAAGCCTTTATTCAGATTCCTTGAATCTTAGGTGATACTGGACAAGATATAACTCTCTCTGGTCTACTCATGAATAAAAATATTAATGCCATTGATTCCCCACCAACATTTATCCCAAGGAGAAGGTATAGTATCTTAAAACAAAACCATACACATATTCACATACTTGTGTGTGTGTTTGGTTAATTCCTATGCACGTACCTTTTATTTCACTGATGAAGGGGCTTATTAAATGGATAGGAGTTTGAAATTTGGAAGCAGAATGGTTCATTGGGAAATATGATTTAATGCTCAACAGACTGAAAATCCCACAGAACTATGGATTTTCTGTTCTTGTTATTTTTAATACATTGCATTTACAGATGTTTAGCATCATTAAACTTTTCACCAGTTCTTTCAACCTCCATTGGCTTATGCTGTGAATGCAAAACAGTCATTCACATGTGAGGAAAACCTGTTTACTAAATCTCTTGTAAGAAGCCTAGGACTTAGAGCTATAAGATCTTG